GGAACAAGAAAATTTAATTAGAAACAAAGAAAAGAAGAAACAAACTGAACTGTTATGTAATAACGGTGCTTCTATATGGCAGTCAATGTGAAAACTTATTTGAAGAAGAAACTTGAAGCAACAGAAACGTGGTTCTATAGAAGGATGCCGAGAATACCATGAACTGAACATGTGAACAACGACGAAGTCTTAGGAAAAATGGAAACAATAAAGAACACTTATACTTAACATCAGAAAGAGATAACAGAAATTTAATAATAAGAAAAGAAGGCTTAGAAAATTTGACATCGGAGGACATATTGAAATATGTCCTCCGATGCAAGAAGGACAGAAAACAGCGAGCTTGTGTAAATATTTGGCAGAACAGAGATTACGAGATATAGTAAAAAAATCGAATTTAATAATAGCTACAAAGGACAGGAAATAGTGGAGAGGCGCAAAAAGAAGAAGGAGAAGGATAATAATAATAATAATAATAATAATAATAATAATAATAATAATAATTTCTGACAAAAAAATAGCTCAGAATATTTTTCCTGATAGAATATCCAGTTAAAATCCATATTAAAGCTTAGGATTTTGTACAAACCCTTCCTATAATGAGATTTGATGCTACACATTCTTCCTCTTTAAATTACATTCCATTTCACTTTAATGTCCTCAAAAAATAGCATGGTCTTGTGACCTTAGTGATTTACTTTCCAATTTATTGGAGATTGATGGTGCTTTTCCAAGCGTAGCCTAGATGTGGCACAAGGGCGAAAGTTTGGGGCATCCAATCGAGGATCGAACTCACTACCCGGTCGTAAACTGATTTAATAAGACAAGCTTGCTAACCATTACACCATATCGAGGTGTCCGAAATTAGAGAATGATGATGAACATACCCAACCCCACAAAATAATAAACAGTACTCTCAACTCATGTGATAGCTTATTCCACTGGAAATTAAGGGGATCATTCAAAAAAGTCCAATGCAATCGATTTTTGACACGCGAGTAGGAAAAACTTTCTGTTAAGAGAAACAAAATTAGATTCAGCAAAATGTCCGTTCTTCATCTTAATTTGTACGCCACCTGGCGGGGAAAATACAAAAATAATTATTTGTTAAAAAAAGATCTTAGAGAAAATCTTCCATCAGCACGATAGCGGTTCTCATTAATAAGTGAAGATGAGAAAAAAGAAAACTTCAAATTCTTTTTTTTTTTTTTAGGTGTGTCTTTATTTTTTTTATTTTTCACAATTGCCAGTGATTTTAACAGGTTTCTTGTTTGAGGCATAACTTCAAAATTATTTGAAACAGGTTTGTTATGTTATAAAAAAGCAGAAAAAATGTAAAACGCACGAAGAAAAGAATTTCAAAATGAAACCCTATACATTTTCAGAGACCCTAGCGGGAACAAATGGAACCTTGTCTCCCCAAGCCTCTACTTGGGCTGACAGATCAAAAAATTTCTTTCGAATTCTAATTAAATACATTACTTTGTTTTAACAAATAATGACAGACATAGGCGGAGCCATGAAAAACAGTTTGTATTTTAATTTCCCAGACAAAATATCATGTTTAAAATTACTCTAAATATTTGTGTTTACGCAGATATTAATCTTATTTATCCCTGCAATTATAATTATAAAATATTTCTGAAGCATAATCAGCCTCTATATTTTTAAATCCAGAACCAATCTTTACACCTACGTGATATGACATACAATTAGAAGTTACGATTTATCATCCAAAAATATCAAGGGATTGATCTCGTAAATGACTTGACGAGTAATTTAAAAATTTTTAAATGAAAAAAAAAGATTATAAACAGATATTTTAAACATATATTTAATTGCTTTAATTCTTGGTAGAAGGATTTAAGTGAAACGAATTTAAATATGTAAAAAGTATATTTTATAATTTCTTCACTTTCAAATAACTTTGACGGAAACATACTAACATCAGCGCTGATTAATTTATGAGCAATATAAAATGTGTTGTGGTTATAGACCAGGGGTTTTTCAAACTTTACCTTAGGGACCCCCTTCTAAACGCTTATGAAATTTATACACAAATATTTGCTGAATATAACATAAAAATTCAGCGCTTACTTGCTTACTCGTCCAACAGCCTTGCACTTCTACTCGCAAAATGTCTCCTGTTTGAAGATTTGCACACGTGACGCCTAACAGCCAATGAGAAAGCCGGTAATCTCAAAATAGATCCAAAATTCAAATCCTTTGGTTCCTTCTCTGCATGAATAGAATCCATTATCTTTATCAATTTAAGATACAAATTATATTAGTATATCAAATCTATGAAATAGTTTATTGAACCAATTTATTTCATGATCGGCCTATAGGTTACTTATAAGTTGCACGTCACCCATAAAAAGGTGTTTGCTGTCTACGGACCCCCTATCCTACCGCGGACCACAGTTTGAAAACCCCTGTTATAGACAATTACGAAGCTTTTTTATAATCACAATAAAACAATTCGTTAGTGCTCAAATTCTTGATCTCTCACTCAGCGACAACGTGCAATTTAATAAGTATATATATATATATATTAATCATGTTGCAAGGAATTTAATGTTCTTGTTTTCATACAAGTATTTTCCTTTCTGGAGATAAGGTGTGTAAAAACTGTTCAAATGCTCTCTGCGTCTGAATGTTTTAGGCTAATCTATTTGCTATTATCAGGGAAGATTTTTGACTGGATATGTACATTTATAATTCGCCCTTAGAAACATTACTAAAGAATACACAACCCCAGTCGACCAGAACAAAAAATAATGGTAAATATCTATTATGGAAAAAAATAAACGGTCAACTTTATTGGAAACCAAAACAAGTACATACGGTCATGGCTGTCAGACGTTGCAACCACATCACCCCTTACAATATAAATTTAATGTAGCGGATAGTTGTAATTTTTTTTTTTTTTTTTTTTTTGTAAGTGCACTTGAAATATTCACAGCTATTAAATTAAATTATTTTTTGACGTAGAAATTTGCCTGAAGAGAATCTTGGATAAGATTGAATGTATTTCTAAAATAAAAGAAATAACACACACATACACACGTATATATATAATTATTTTAATATATTTTCTGTTCATTCGTTATTTTTATAGATACAAATATTTAAGTAAATGCTCGGTGTATAATAAATGCCCGAGAAAATATGCATCCTCCGACAGGAATCGTGTAGGATACAGGTTCGATTCCTGTCGAGGAACACATATTTTCTATGAGATTTCCCGGCCATTTAGGCTGGTAAATGTCGTTAATACTGTTTATTATAAACAGTGCATTTACTTAAATATTTGTGTCTATAAAATAACGTATTAACAGAATATATATATATATATATACCAGTGTCTATCTGTTTCAAATTTACACTTTCTTTTCCTTTCCGTCATGATCTGCGTAGTATAAAAATATTCTGCTATCAGTTTCAATTAATAATTTTCCTCCAACGCATATAAATTTGGAAAAAGCTGTTCAATAAAGTCGCTTTAAGCGCATCAATCCTGGGATTTGAAAATGAATTATACATTTTTTTTAAAGTTTGACAATTTGTTCTATCCATTCGCAAAATTTAAATCTGTTTATAATTCCAGTTTTTTTCTTATCATCTTCTCATGCATCTCGTTGAAAAATATAAAATTGATTTCGAGGAAATTTTATCGAATTTTACGCGTCATTACAAAAAGAAATAAATCAGAATTCGTCAAATTAGTAAGCGAAAAATCACAGTATATTTAGTTCTTCAGCTTTCATTATTTATTAGGTTTGTGCAACGTTTTCAGTATTTATTCATTATGCGCAACGTTTTCAGTATTTATTAGGTGTGTGCAACGATTTCAGAATTTATTAGGTGCTTGCAACGATTTCAGTATTTATTATTGCACGCAACGTTTTCAGTAGTTATTAAGTTTGTGCAACGTTTTCAGTATTTATTAATTATGCGCAACGTTTTCAGTATTTATTCGGCGCATGCAACGTTTTCAGTCTTTATTAGGTGCGTGCAACGTTTTCAGTATTTATTAGGTGCTTACAACGTTTTTAGTAGTTATTAGGTGCGTACAACGTTTTCAGTAGTTATTAGGTTTGTGCAACGTTTTCATTATTTTAATGCGCAACGTTTTCAGTATTTATTAGGTGCGTGCAACGTTTTCAGTATTTATTCGGAGCATGCAACGTTTTCAGTATTTATTAGTTGATTACAACGTTTTCAGTATTTATTAGGTGCGTGCAACGTTTTCAGTATTTATTAGGTGTGGGCAACATCTTCAGTAATTTTAGGGGTGTGCAACGATTTTAGTATTTATTAGGTGCAACAATTCCTGCAAAAAATTGTTCTCTACTCTGTATTCCGTGTTTAGTTTTATTTTTTTAAAAAAAGAGCGTTGGAGACATTGACGCAACGCATAAATTTGCAAATGCACGCTGTATGTGTAACGGGTTACGGCTGTTATTATAACGACTTTCATAATCGCGTCAAGTTTGCTTAATTTCATGCTTTTTTTCCTAGTCATACATGGCAGTTGGTAGTTTGTCCATATTGTATCAATCAACTTCAATAAGTTGATCAATGTTTGTCTTCAAAGGATGTCTAATGCTATTATGTCCATGAATTGCTTTTCAAAGTCTTAACACAACTTACCGTGGCAAATCCGACTTGACCATTTCGATAATCGTAGCAGTAGCAGTAATGCGCTTTGAAAACAAAGTGATCCTAGAAATATTGGTTATTTCCTCATTGTGTGATTCAGCACAACCACCATACTTGATCACATGGCTTCTTTTCATTCTCATTTAGTTTGATCCTTACAATTCGATCTGCTCGGTTTGGTTGTAACTGTCTGGAGTTATTCTTCCGTACTTTAGTTCCCTGGAATACGAAAAACCTGCCACCACCTCAAAGCGAGAATCATTGTTGAAAAAAAAAGAATATAGCCATATATAAACTCGGCTTCATCAAGACTAACAAAGAGGTTAAATGGACGAATGTGTTGCGCCGATCATTATTTTTTATTCACACGTTATTACGTGAGCCGCAATTATCACCAAATTATAGCATTCTTTTCTTCACAATCCTTTATCATCCACTGCCTCTCCCCCCCCCCTCTCTCTCTCTCTCTCTCTCTCTCTCTCTATGTATGTGTTTGGTGCTGAAAGATTCTCGGCCTTGACCAAAAGTCCGTCCCCCATCAAAAAAATCTGATGTTTTGTCATTTTAAGAGATTTTCGGAAGTCGATCGAACCGAAAATCTTCATTACCTCTTTGGATATATATATATATATATATATATATATATATATATATAATACTAAAAAGAAAAATAGTAGGCAAGACTGCAGTCAGACCAATGCGCGGATAGTTTTTTAAAAAATTGAATTTGTAGAGCTGGTAATAGAATATAAGTAACTGCTCTGACGAGACCGTATGGTCAAAACCCGGGTAGTGCATTGCGCGTGGATTTTCCTAATCCTAATATATATATATATATATATATATATATATATATATATATATATATATATATATATATATTTGTTTGAATAAAAGACAGACCACGTTAAGATTCCATGTAATAAGCTATTTCACCATAACCCCTTTAACAGGGTTCTGGATCATCAGACTTTACTTCCAAAAGCTGAAATGAAAAATGAAAAGAAATTCACCGGACTACTCACTCAAGAACATTCCTCACCCTACGATTGAATCCTTCACCATGTCTTTGACGGAAAAAATCATTGACGTCATAAAAAGAATGAGGTGGAAAATTCACTTCCATCTTAATCCCCATGACAAACCCACTAAACTAGATGAAGCCTTTTACTTTAAATCTCAAAACACCCCACCAAACAATAAATTATTAGAACCTTTTGAACAAGATTTAATTGAGTTAATTAAGAAAATATCCTTCCAGAAAAAATACAACCCATTCCAATCCAAACTCAAAAAAGACATCACGAATATAAAAAATTCAAAAAAAACTATGGATCAGAGCTGACAAATCTAAAAATATTTACAAAATTAATCCCTCGGAATACAACCATCTAATTCAAAATAAAGTCTCTGGTTCTTATAAGAAAGACAACAATTCTAAACACTTATCCTCCATACACAAAGAAACTGCGAAATTAGCATTTAAATATAATATTGCTGATAGAATGGGTACAACTCATCTAAAAGACACCTACCTACTTTTTAAAGACCATAAACCTAACTTTCAGAATAATCTACAGTCCAGACTAATAAATCCCTCCAAATCAGAGTTAGGAATAATTTCTAAAAACATCCTAAAAGAATAAACACATCTATAATTAAAAATACCCGTTAAACCTTTGGAAAAGATTCATCAGACACCATTAACTTGTTCCAAAAATAAAGAATAAAAATAATACTACTTTTATACAACTTGATATCATCGATTTCTACCCCCCAATCTCTAAAGAATTATTAGAAAATAGCTTAAGTTTTGCCAGAATCCACACTGACAATACTGACGAAGAAATAAAAATCATAATGGACTCTAGACAGTCCATACTAAAACTGAACAACATTACTTGGATTAAAAAAGATAGAGACAATTTTGATGTCCCAATGGGATCTTTTGATTCTGCTCAAATAGCAGACCTAATAGGTATATACATTTTAGATATCCTAAGTAGATTCCTTGACCCTCAAAATATAGGACTATACAGAGATGACGGATTAGTTGCTGTACCTAATACTAATGGTCCGTTAACATCCCAACTACAAAAGAAAATAATTAGGGCCTTCAAATTTCTAGGATTTAGAATCGAGATTTCTTCCAACTTAAAAATAGTAAACTTCCTAGACGTTACATTTAATCTGAACAATAATACTTATAAACCCTTCCAAAAGAAAAACCAATCACCCATATATATAAATATCCACTCCAATCACCCGAAATCAATAATTAAACAAATCCCAAATACAGTAAATGCTAGAATAAATAAACTTTCCTCCAGTAAAACCATTTTTAACCAGAATAAATGGGAATACAATACAGCCTTGTTAAAAAGCAATTTTAAGCAAACACAAAATTACATAGATAAGCCAGTAAGTAAAAAATCCACTAAACCCAAAAATAGGAAAAGGAAAATTATATGGTTCAACCCACCTTTTTGTAACCTCTCCAATATTAACATAGGTAAATACTTCATAAAACTGATAGAAAAACACTTTAGCAATAATGCATCTCTGAAAAAAATATTCAACAACATGAATCTAATGATTAGCTATTCTTGCATGAACAACATGGAAAGAATTATTAGCTCACACAACAGTAAAATTTTAAGAGACCTTCAGGATAATCTAAGACAAAATCAGGATACAACACGAATGGAAAAATCAACATGCAACTACAGGACATGATCAGAGTGCCCAGTTGAAGGAATATGCATGGCAGAGAACACAATATATGAAGCAACAATTTTCCCCAAAGAAAAGGTTGAAGAGAAAAAGATATACATTGGAATATCAGCGGGAGATTGGAAACACCGACTATACAACCATCGCCAATCCTTCAAAAATAAATGTAAAAAAAAAAAACAAACAGCACTATCAAATCATTATTGGTTTTTGTTGGAGAGTGGCCTAACACCACAAATAAAGTGGAGAATAATATCAAGAGCCAGAACTCCCAAAAACTTCAGAGACAGATGCAACTTATGTTTGAAGGAGTAAATCTTCATAATCAAACATAAAGATCCAGACATACTACTAAATAGACACAATGAACTAGTTTTTAAATGCCGGCACAAAAACAGCCTAAACCTAAGTAAGTACACTAAGAAATAATCATATAGGAAAAGCAATTTTGAATGTTTTATATTCCCTTTGTTTTTAGAAATATTACTATGCACACGTGAACACTAACACATGACTATATGTATACAACTATGATAATGTATTTGCACACTGAGACACCTGTTGATATGTACATGTATATGTTTTTATACGGAAAAAGAAGCATACCAGTTTTTTTGGGGTTTTTTTTGTGAGTGTGGAGATGTACAATTAGATAGGTACTTATATGTTTTGCCATAAATATGAAAGATCGGGTAATATTATATGTGTAAAGATATAGATAATGTAATTAAATACTGAGATAGTCTTCGAACGCAGGCATAAGTGGATGCACGGGTGGGCATGAGGATAGGGACAAATACGTGGGTAGATATATGTAAGTGCAAATTAACGCATATGTGGGTATGTAGATATTCTGCATATTGCGTATGCATATGCATATGTGTGTGTATGTATATGTATGTATGTATGCATATATGGGTGTGTGTATGTATGTGTATATGTGTATACATATGGATGTGTAAATATATATATGTGCGTATGAATATATATGGATATGCAGATGTCCTTGTGTGTATATGTATATATGTAAGTATAAGTATATATGGAGATAGGTATGGAGACATGTGGATGTGCGTTTTCTCTGCAGGTTTATATGTGTAAAGATGGAAATATACATATGGTCGTTTCGTGTGAATGTGTGTGTAGGTGTATATAGGAACTCATAGGCATATAAGAAGATATAGGTATGTGGTTACAAATAGGGGTTTAAGGACATGTGTAGATAAAAATCGTAAAAGAATGGCCTAATTTTCTGCTAGTGACATCTCTTCCAAATTTCTCCTCTAATATTCTCCAGTTGGAAGTGAATTTTAAATAGCACGAAGGGAAAGTTTAGATTGGTATTTTAATTGAGATTGAAAGATACTACCCCAGTGTGGAGAATAAAACTATTTAAATGGGAATAACTATTGATAATTGGGTACATAAAACAACCACGAGTTTACTTAATGAACAAAATAAAAAACAATCACGAGTTTACTTAATGAACAAAAATCAAACGAATAAATGTCAACCTAACAAGCTATAAGATAAAAAGTTTTAGTGGAAAAAAAAAAGTGGAAAAAATTACTAAATATAAATTGGATTGCTCTTTCAATGTTCTGTCTATGGATTTTTCCAATCGACTGTCTCATAGAAAATACCCAAAACTCCACCGAATTTCAAATTAATTCCTTCGTAGATTGTTCTAAAATTTAGATATTTATCAAACCTTAACCTCCCAAATATGCACGTTAAAGTAACGCGAACTGACAACGTCTAGGAATTTGAATGAATCCTGTCGTGTAATTTATTGGGGTTGTTGTAACGTCTTCCTTTAATGTAGTTCTTATCGTTCACCCCTTAGCCACCTTTATCTAGAGACGAGACGCGTTAAATTTGAGCAACATCCAGCCGACACACTGTGGTTAAAATAGGAAACTAAAATGATACATATGACACACTCATATCCTCTCTCCCACCTCACTTCCTCACTTCGTTAACTTTGCGTATACTTGATGAGGTCCGTCAAAAACGTGTGAATTTCTTTTCATTTTTCATTTCAGCTTCTGGAAGTAAAGTCTGATGATCCAGAACCCTGTTAAAGGGGTTATGGTGAAATAACTTATTACATGGAATCTTAACGTGGTCTGTCTTTTATTCAAACATATCTGCTCTGAATTTTACATTGAGCTCTCTGGATATCATCCTCCTCAGGTCTACCCATACGGATTACCTAAATTTGCATGAACTATATATATATATATATATATATATATATATATATATATTAATTCACATTTAATTTTTTGTGGGTACCCGGGTATGAAATAGACGCACCATTTTTATTTTAAATTTTGTATATTACGTCTATCGGCCTATACACTCCGTATGACTGGATGATGATGATAATGATGATGATGATGATGAAATAGAATATATTATCTTCGGCAAGTGTCAGCCAAAGGTGTCATCTTCCAATCAATCAGTTGCAGAAAATTAACTATCTGCGTAGTGTGGTTACAGATGACTGAAAATATGGCAAAAATATCCTGAGAGGCATCGGAATAGTAAAGGTACCAGAAACTAAGCAAAGTATCAGGAGATAAGAAATTCCGTTGAAAACCAAGAAAATAATACAGAACTCTTATTTAATATTGATCCTTCTGCAAGGCAGTGAATGTTGGACACGTACTTTTGCAATGATCTGATATATTCCGTCTTGAAGATAAAAAAAAATTCCATTTTTATTCCATTAATGTCAATTATTTTAAAGCTTTTTACTGTCGCAACAAAGAAAATAGATAGCATATATAACACGAACAGAAATAATGACAAACAAAATTTCTTGCATCATTTACATTATTTGGATTGTTATCCTCATCTTCATTACCAGATTCACAACGTTTCGACCGTTGTACGCTCCTGTCTTCTTCAGGTTATTGGAATTTCGAACCGAACCCTTTATTTCGTCCACCGGAGTAGATTGTTCTCGTTCCACGTGTCATGCCTCTTCCGGATGTCTCAGTTATGAAACGTTGTGAGTATGGCAATGAAGATAAGGATAACAGTCCAAATAATGTAAATAATGCAAGTAATCATAATACCTCATCTCAGAGATATAGAGACCGAAACGTTGTGAATATGGCCTATTTTCCTGAAAGATTTAAGAGAAAGATTTTATAAATTTCAATCGGAAATAGCAGTTGCTGTTCGGCCATTGAATGTCGAATATTTCCTTATGAGGAAACGACTAATATTACCATTACTATTCCCATTACCGTGCGGTTTATGCATCTAGCCGAACGCTCCACATATTTAGCGTAAATTTCATCATTACGCGTCTTAATTTCCCGGTCTTTTGAATAGCACCAAACGTGAACAATACCTGCCAGTTTTTTTATGTACACACGCGCGCACGAGCGCATATACACGCACATACACCCTTGTGCAAATTAATTGTAACAACCGCTTTAGTTTCCTTTCTTTCACTAAACAAGTAAGTTTTAGGCCCACTGGAAGGACAGGGTGTAATCGATTTCTATTTTTTCCTCAGATTAGGTCATTTGCAGTGGTGTGCGGTAATATGAATCTATTTTTGGGGTGTACAGTGAAATTTGTTTGACTTTGAAAAATATTGCGTTATCTGTGATTGCATCAGATTTTTATCACGCCCAGACACTATTGTCTCGACTGTCGATTAGTTGTCCTACACTCATTGTCTGCGATGGGCGTTACTCCAAGTTAGCGTACGAAAATTGTAATGCTGCGCGAACGCTCTGGCAAGCCTTACTAGTGGACAAATCAAAATACTATAGACTGGCCCGAAAACTGCCCTTATTTAAATCTAATGGAGAATCTGTTGTCAATCTGCAAGGAACGACTTACATACACTGAGTCATGTTTCATCGAAAAATAAGAAAACAGTACATAATAACGGAATTATTCCATTTGTTTCAATTAATTTGCAAAGAAAAGTGTAAATGTAAACCTGTATATACCATAAATATGAAACTATGTCTCTTTGTTACCGTTCGTAAATGTGCATGTTGGTGTACATGTGTAAATGCATTTCAGCTCTGCCTGTGCAGAAACCCTGGCCCAAATAAATCGTAGATATTGATTAGGCCTCTGCTAATTGATCGCTTTGCATAGAGCGTTCACTGCGAAAGACCCGTAGCATCCTCACCTGCAACAAAAAAAGAATTAGCGCTTGTTACAATATCATCGGCTGCATTTGCTGAGGCTAGCCGAATGCTTTCCCGCTCAAAATTCATTCCACCGTTTCGACCTACCTGAACGGTAAAGTCTTGTGTTGAGTCTTGTGCCAACAGCAGGCATTGATGAAAGAGTTTACGGAATTGCTGATTACTGGGAAAAGGAGATAGTTAAGATCCAACAATCGGATTTTGCAGTTTTCAGTGCAAAAAAAAAATGGCAGTCCGTCGTCGATATTGTTTCATTCACAACAGCTGCTTCTAATGCTGACGATACCTTTGAAACGATCGGCTAAGCATGTGCGAACGAACCGAAACTATTCTATCGATCTGTCTATCGATCAATCTATCTAGCGAAGACTGTCCGTATCTATCTGTGTATTTATACCTATCTAGCTAGTTATATATCTATTACTATTAGCCTATTCGTATCTACATCTAACTCTTCACATCTATCTACATATATATAAGCCTATTCATATCTATCTATCTATCTATCTATCATTCTGTATATTCATAGCTATCTAGCTAGCTATATATCTATTACTATCAGCCTATTCATATCTGTATCTATCTCTTCACATCTATCTATCTATCTATCTATCTATCTATCTATCTCAGTTTCTTCACATCTATTTATCTGTCTATCTCAGTTTGTTCATATCTATCTATCTATCTATCTATCTATCTATCTATCTATCTATCTATCTCAGTTTGTTCATATCTATCTATCTATCTAACTATCTATCTATCTATCTATCTCAGTTTGTTCACATCTATCTATCTATCTATCTCAGTTTGTTCATATCTATTTATCTCTATCTTTACATATGTTCTTATCCGTCTCTGTTCGCATTTATTTTTAAATTGTTTTTCCTATATATTTATTTGACCGTTGTTGAAAAGTAATTAACAAATTTAACAACTAAACTATTTTTAATTGAAAAGTAATTAACAAATTTAACAACTAAACTATTGCTATGTAATATCTATCCAGAATTGTTAACATTTACAGAATCATTTGAAACTTCGCAAATGCCAATTTGTCTGACGTTTTCACTTGAGATATAAACTCAAAGGAATCGCGGGAACCCTTTAGTTTTGTTGAACAGGCACCTCTACCCTACCTTAACTTAACCACATTTGAAAAGTAACTCACATTTTGATCCACAGGTTGTCAGTTAAAATGAATACCCTACCGCCCCTTGTCAAAATGATTGAATTTCCCCGTATCTTTAGCAATTAATATTAAGAATGTATGTGGTTATAAACTCAGTAAATTTCAAAATATGTTATTCCAAAAATCGGTTGAAAACAGTACTAAGGATTTTAATTTAATTCTAAAATTAAATTTTAGCATTTTTAGTTTCTGTTTTAGAAACATGGTAATTCCTGTGTAGCGATGAGACCATATTTTTAAATTATAAATTTATAATATTTATACTCTTTAGAATTGTATTGAGCACCGTCTTTTTAAAATAAAAATAATTTATAAGAACACCGGATTATAAATCTTACTGTTCTTTCTCATTATTTAATATATATATATATATATATATATATATATATATATATATATATATATATATATATATATATAACAACAGGTCAAAGGGACACTTGCTCAATTGAATGATGCTCTGTTTGTAATCTTCTTAACCTTTACTACAACTACAGACAGTTATGCAAAAGCCATGATTATATTTAATATTTTCACTTGCATTATTTACATTATTCGGACAGTTATCCTCGTCCGTTGTACGCTCCGAGCTTCTTCAGGTGATTGGAATTTCGAACCCAACCCTCTATTTATTATTGATTGTTCTAATTCTACGTGACAGGCCTCCTATGAATGTCATAGCTATTTCCCTTTAACTCAATACTCCAAGTTTTGGTTCACAACTCTTTATTGGATCTAGCCAACGTCTAGCCATATGCCCTTGAGGACATCCGTGTAAGAATTTTTTTGGCTTATAAACTAATGTCTCAGTACCCTTTTCACCAGTGCTCATATTTTCGTTTTTATTATTGCATTTTTTACCAGAGCTTATACTGCAATTTTAGTTGTTATTTATTGCTTTTCTCTAGTTATCCTTATTACTGGTTCCCATATTATATTCATTTCTATGCTTGGTCGGCTCAGGAGATGTTTTTGGCCTAGCATATGTGCTGATTTCTTAATTTTTCGTATTTTCCAGTGATGCTCTCTGTCTATTATTTCAACCTCGTCCCACAGGGGGCAGTGATCTCTCTTTTCCCTCCATATGTGGTCAGCTACGCTTGATTTTTCTATTTCCCCTTGTATTACCGCTTTACGATGTTATTGTAATCTTACTTTAAAGGAACGGCCTGTTTCTCTTTTTTATTACTTATATTTTAAATTGTTATCCATAATTTATTTCTGTCGATTTTATTGCAGTTTTTTTTTCATACCCGATCAATTCTTCGATCGTTAAATTAACACACAAACCATATTTAAGAAAATCGTATTTCATTTACGAAACGCTAACCGATTAGCCTAGATTATCAAGATTATCAAGATTATCAAGGGACTCGAACTGAACTTCCTTTTAATAAGTTTTCTTCCGGTTCTGTTCCATGCGCTAGTGATGATTACCTAAGCGTTCTAGTCATGCTCTTAAGTTGTTTTTAGATGCTTAGAGGAATTATTCTCAATATTACAGCAATTACTAATATTGACTATTATTTTTTATTTATTTATTTATTTTGCTATTCATTACAACAGCTTTTAGCTGAGGTATTCGAAAAACACTAACGCAAACAGCGTGAAATCGGAATTAATAAGCAGCTTCCGACAAAACAGCCGACGTACGGGACGCAATTTCAAGTCTCATCAGGAGAAAAAGCTGTGATTATGGATTCATGCTGCCAACATGAACAACTGTAAAATAGATTGGTTAAAATATTAGTTAAAAAGCCAAAAAAAAAAAAAAATTAGTTAAAATTAATACTTTATGTAATAAATCCTCCTAGGCCTTTTTTTTTTTTTTTTTAGCAAAGTGCTTAAAATACCTGTGCTTCAATGTTGCAAATTTTGCAGGGAAGGGGGGCGAGATTTTTCATATCTCAGGTGATCTTTTAAAATTAATTTAAAACTTCACACTGGCTCCGGTGAAACCGTTTTTGCTTTCGTTGGAGAAGAAAAGGAGAAAAAGTGATATTCTGTTCGTATATCAAACGCAAAATAACGAAAAAAAAAAAAAAGGAATTTGATAAGGAGAGTTTTACAAGGATGTTCTTTTGGAAGTCTTTTTGAAACACTTCATGCGTGCGAACAACTTGTCCGTTGACAATTACCTGTCTGCAAATGGTAGGAAAGAAAACGAAAGAAAACGACTGCTTTCTGTTAAATGCAGGTGTTGGAAATGTTATTTAAATACGCGCAAATAAAAAATCTTAAATCAAAATCGAGAAGCGGAATGAACTTAAGTCAAATTTTACAAGATTGAAATGTTCACATAATACTTTCTGTTGTTTTTTTTTTTTTGTTTTTTGGTTTTTTTGTTCAACAAATTCTTTTTTCGGCATTTCTTGTTTAGTTTTTTTGTTTTTTTCTTACTCTTTTGGTATTTCTTTTTCGACTTTCTTTGTTGCGGGACGACTTTAATTATTATGTCATGACATGCTACAGGAGCTAGGGTTACCATGTAACCCAGTATTACCCGACACATAGTTGAGTCATCGGCAATTAAACAGGTTTTCTAGCTAGGATTTTCTGGAGAACAGGGTGGTTAGACTTTGGTTGACGTTAGGCATGATTTTCAGGTATTTCCAAGGGAAGTGCATGGGCGAAAAACCACCCCAGATGGATATTATCAAGAAGTCATCTCCTTGAAAAATCGGCCACGATGAGATACGAACAAGGAAAGCGAAGGCCTCAGGCAAACACCCATTCACTTGATACGAGTGTTTTTTTATTTTGTTGTTTTTTTGTTTGGGGGGGGGTCATAAAGATTATTACACTTTCAAAGTAAAGCAAAATAACAGTGTCTGTTTCTAGCCTTTTTTTAAAAAGAAAATTAGTGACATCTTCTTCTCTCTTAACTTCCTTCTCTCTTTTTCTCTCTATCGGTTTTTTCTTCTCTACCCCTTCGATATCAATATATAACTTCCGTTAAGCTAACTGTTTAAATGTGTCAATATCTGCTAACTCACTCATGTCTTCTCTCTCCCCCCTCACTTTCTCATTTCGTTAATTTACATATGTTTAATACGGCCCGTCAAAAATGTGCAAATTTTTTCTTTTCCTTTTTTGTTTGGAAGTAAAGTCTGATGATCCGCAGTTTTTTTAAAAGGGCTGTGGTGAAATAATTTATTACATGGAACCTTAAAGTTGTCTGTTTTTTTATTTATATATATATATATATATATATATATATATATATATATATATATGTGTGTGTGTGTGTGTGTGTGTGTGTGTTGTGTTTGTATTACGGATGCTTTCATCATTTTTAATGGATAAGTGTTCAACAGCCGCATTCCGTCCTTAACGCCCTACTTGCGTATGCGCTTTCAACGATTTTTAAGGCCAGCTTGAGGCCCACACAACTTTTATATATTGGAGAAAGCACACCACATTGTAAAGGCTGCAGGAATATATATATATATATATATATATATATATATATATATATATATATATATGGAGCCCCTTCTGCTTGTCTCAGGGTTCTTGATAAGATCCAGAGACGGATATGCAATGTTATTGGCCCTGATCTGTCATCTCGTCTGCAGTCGCTCTCTCACAGACGTGCCGTCGCCTCTCTCTGTCTTTTTTACAAATACTTTCATGTTTTTCTTCTGGTTAGTACTATTGTTTCTATAACTTATGTTAGCGTTTTTGTATCCACTATTTTTTAGGGCTATGTTATAAAAATTACTGTGTTGTTGGAATATTTCCTTATTAGCGGAGTTCATGCTGATTCTTTTCTCTATTGATGTGGGTATATGCTTAATTATAGATGGAGGGTGGTTTGACTTAGGGTGTACATACAAAGGATTAGTGTTAGGTTTTCTGTAAGGGAGGAAAAACAGGAAAATTTGGTATACCCCTCCGTTCAACCAAATGGTTAATATTAAGCTAGAACATAAGTTTCTAGGTTTAACTGAATAACACTTTCCTATAGATCTTTAATAAAAAACACCTTAAAATTAAGTTACAGTTGCACTGAAAATCCAGAAAGAATCATAAAAAACATAATAATAAAATCCTGGAAAAACACGCATGGCAAAACATTATTAATAAAAATCCTAAACTAAAATTAGACAAAAATAATGAAAAATTATGTGATTATAGAAACCCTGAAGATTTCCCGTTGGAAAATAAATGCCGCACAAAATATGTGGTATACCAATGCACTATCTCATCCATTGGTGGTCCTAACACTGATAGGATATACATTGGTTCAACGAAGAATAAATTTAAAATTAGATGGAGAGAACACAAAAGTTCCTTCAATAATATTAGAAGTAGAAATCAGACATCTCTATCCAAATATTTTTGGTATTTAAAAGAAATGAACAAAACACCGAAAGTAAAATGGAAAATAATAAATAGCACAAGAACTTGTAAAACCTAAGATGACCCATTCCCTTTATGCCTACATGAAAAACTACACATTATCAAGTTTCTAAACAATGAAAATTTTCTACCGACATCAACAAATTTTCGCATTACATAATTAGCATAAAAAACTAAACTTCATAGTCTAATAAAAGGTTTACAAGCTAAAAAAAACCCTTTATGAAGTCGTCAAAAAAGATATTGTAGTTCAGTGCGTCCCGTTTAAGTACGAAACAGCCCTTTACAAAAAAAAGGACAAAAATAAATAAATAAAATAAAATAAAAATAAATAAATAAAATAAAACAAAATTCTCTAGACACTTAACGACATATTATGGTGCCTAAAGCTATTTTTCGCTGAGACTGGCCAGACGATGTGCGCACATAAATGCCATCATTTGCTTTAAAATGGATACCCCGACCCTACCTCGGCTTGACCTCGTTCCGAAGGTGACTGATATATGGATAAAAATTAACTCTTAAGCCCCTTATCAAAATAGTAGCCCCAGCCGTTCCCATAGTAATTAATTTTGCGAATGAACATGCTTATAAAGATGCGTAAATTTCAAGATTGGTTATTCCTAAATTTTTACTTTAACTCAATTTAATTTTAATAATTATATAGAGGTTTTCGGCTCTCGTTTTTGAAACATGAGAACTCTTATGTAACGAAGGAATCATATTTTTTAAATAATTATAATATATATATATATATATATATATATATATATATATGTCATCTATCAATGGTCAAATTGAAACAGACTGTCACTCTTGGTTCATGTACTTCCATGTCCATATATAAATATATATATATATATATATATATATATATATATATATATATATATGTGTGTGTGTGTGTGTGTGTGTGTGTGTGTGTGTGTGTGTGTGAACATTGAATTCAACTCTCAGATGCGACAGGCTGTTTCATGCTTGGCGCAATCGTCAATTGACTTCAATGTTCACTTTTATATTTATATTTACATACGGTCTATCTCTGATATTGAGAACTTTATCCCATAAATATAGCACACATTAAAACTATATTTCTTCACATATATATATATATATATATATATATATATATATATATATATATATATATATCTGTATGGAACTGTATTTTCCTGCTCTGATGGCGAACCAGGAAAACTTGATAAGAAGATATTGTTAGATACAACTGCGTCACTGTAGGTTAATGTAAAAAAAAATTTAAAGACCCTAAAACTGGCTTATATCAGAATCATCTTCTAAGTAAAACAATGTTGGAAGCACTATTACTGTTTTTGAAGAAGCAGCTTTGTGAATTTAGACATTAGATGAAATTTATAAACGAAATATCATCGATCGATGTTGAACACTAAAGTCAGCTGAAATAAATACAATTTGAAACAATAGACAGAACTGTGGAAAAGAAAAAAGGAAATTTGATATCAAGCGGCTTCAGACACCTTCTCATCGCCGAAAGGTTGTCTTTCTGTATGTTTTTATAAATACTTTCATGGTAATTGCTGGGTAAGCTCTTCGCTATGGTACTTAGACTTTTTGAATTTAATCCCAATTCTAGACTGGCGCCGAGATCTCATCAATTTACTGTTGAACTGGCTAGATGTAACCGTAAATTCTATGTTAACAGTTTCTTTTCTTGCACTTCTCGCTTGGGAACCCACCTCCAGCAAACATTAATCTGCAAAAATTAAAATGCAATATCAATAGCTATCGACTGATTATTCTTTTCTCTTCTCGTTCATATTTCTGTTCCTAATTCTTCCACACACTGCAACCCCTTGTGTCTTAGTGACTTTATTGCCTTCCTGGGGTGATACCGATAAAGAAATTAAGAAATTTGATTGCAGGAGTACAATTTAGGGATGTTGGGAAATAATGATGAGAAAGTAACAGAATTATGATGAGAGGCAAACGAAAGCGGGAATGGTACAACTAAAATGTGAAGTTAGACTATAGCTTAACAAATATGACGTAAGCTATGTATTTAACTAAACTCATAGTACTGGATATTTTAATACAGTCGGTTGTAATGCTATTTTAATTTTGAAACACAATTAAATTTAGAGCCCTAAAACAGTATCTGACACAAGGTGGAAACCAAAGAGAGACGGCAAACATTTTTTTCATGATGTGGGTTTTGTCATATGCTGTAATATTTTTTACACTTAAGCAAATTTTTGAAACTCAAGTGAGCTATCAGTTTTATCGTTAGTTCTGTCCTCAAGCAACATGAACTAATATTTCCAGAAAGATTAGTTCTATTCAATTACGCAGCTGAAACTTTTAAGAGTTTGAAACTCATGCGTTAATAAAAAATATTCACAGAATATGGGTTGGTGCATAATCATCAGGCGTTTTTAAACAATATTTATTATTTTTTAAAGACATTTTTATGTTTATACATTCTTTTTATAGATACAAATATATAGTAAATGCTCTGTTTGTAATAAACAGTATTAACAACATTTACCGGTCTGAATGCCCGATAAATTTTCATAGAAAATATGCGTCCTCCGGAATATATACGGAACCGTCATATAGCCTGACGTGCTTTTACCGAATTCGCCACAGAGGAGCGTTTCGGTTAACAAGGTCGATTTTACTGTTTTATTATTAGTTCTTGTTTCTGTTACTTAAATATTTGTATCTATAAAAAAAGAATGTATGAACATAAAAAAGTCTTAAAAAATAATTGTCGGACTTTTATTATGAAAAAAGAAACATGACAATTCAATAACATTTTTAAATGATTATTCCGAAGTGTATGATTATCGACACACATTTTTATAACCTGGAAATAAAATAAAATTTTTATTAAAAAAGTAAACAAAACAGCATTTTCTATTAACAAATAACTCACCTACAAAAACGCCTGATAATTATGCACCAACCCAATACTAATTTTATCAACATTTTCTATCCACGCATAAGTTCCAAACTCTTAAAAGTTTCAGCTGCGTAATTGCTGGAAACTTAAGATTAATATTTAAAACAGATCCGAAAGAAGTGACTTCCAAATGAGTGTGTACTCAAATTTCGCTCCTTATTTAAGATATGAAGAAAGCTAAATTACTATAAAATAGCGCCGCTTTGTCGATTCAGCACATTATTTTAGACAGACACTGCTAATAATTGCACATATCATGTTGCTGTTAGCGTCAAAGATAACGGACGAGAAACATAAAGCCCACTCACATGAATAAATATGGAATTCTGTGGCAAATGCTTCGGCCACATGTCAGCTCTTTCTCTTCAAGCCTCCCTTTGGCACTTTGAAAATATACCTTCATAATTCTCTCAACTCTAGAAAGAACAATTTCCCATTTTCCTTTTCCTTTCAATCCCTGAGTACAAATCATTTTTCTTGTGTACATTGCAATACATACGATCATTGTGTGTGCAATGAAATAGTAATGTGCACGGGACCCGGCGGGGATTTTAACGCATGCGCTATGTAGACTGACAAGAAAAATGGCCGACACAATTCTCAAAGCAAATTTTCACGTATTCAGTTCCAAGAGGAATCACTCATTTGGTAGCGACAATATCAAGTAAGTGTGAATCATAACAAGACAGAGAATAAAGAAAAGGCAAGAAAAGTCAACTTGTCGCAGTTATACATTAAATATCGCCAAACTCTCATGCGGTAACGACACTGACATTATATTGTATAAGCTGGGTAATATTATATGGCGATATTTTTATTTTCATGCGACACAGAGCTTTTGTATAGTTTATAGTTTGAGAGCAGGGAATTTCATTAAATTTGATTAACTACCTCTTGTTAAACTTTGTGAGTGACGTCATGAAACTTCTCACTTGTACTGGGGAGATATTCTGATCTCTATTGTTTGTTATTTAGGAAGTAAACACTCACAAATGTAATAATAACTTTTGTTTTAGCATGTATTCCTCTGTTAAAGATAGTATTATGTTATATATATATATATATATATATATATATATATATATATAAGTTGTGAAAAACTTGGTAATCCGTATAGGTAATCTCAAGGGGATGAAATCCTGAGAGCTCAATGTAAAACCAGAGCTAATATTTTAAAGAAAAACAGACCACTTTAAGGTTCCATTATAATAATTTATTTCACCAGAGGACTTTTAAAGGACGCCAGATCATCAGATAGCACTTCCAAAAATGAAATCATATATATATATATATATATATATATATATATATATATATATATATATATATATATATATATCATTTCATAGATAGATAGATAGATAGATAGATAGATATGTTGTTCCTGCATGAAATATGAATATTTTTAGATATGAAATATTTAAACGAATAATGTACCCAGTGAAATATTTTCCCTGTGGTATACTGTTATGGAAAGGACATATTTTGCTGCGATGAAACTCAAAAGATAAAAATTCAAGTGGCTCAAATGGCGATAAATTCTACTATCGATTTGATCACACCGTATACGTTTATATTATCGACGAGTAAAAGTATTAAAAAGATAAAAGAAAAAGATTTAGTGAAACCTTCGGTAACTGTTTCATTTATTCACTTATTTTTTTCATGTTTTCTTTCCTTGTTTCATGATTGCTTTCTTTCTTTGATACCTTTTTCTTTGTTTAATTGCATTAATCTTTTTCAGCTTTTTTCTTTCTTTTAACATTCCAGAATTCTTTGTACTGTTCTTTCTCTTAAACTTCATTATTTGTTCTATATGCCTGAAGCGTTCATATCATTTTCCTTTCTTTCTTTCTTTCTTTCTTTCTTTCTTTCTTTCTTTCTTTCCCTCAAGCATTTTTCTTTTTTCTTCATTTTTTCTTTCTCTCTATCTTTCTTTCATGCATTCTTTCTTTCTTACGAGAATATTTCTTTCTTTCAATTATTTATCTATCTCATTCTTTCATTCATTCTTTTTTCAAGCAGTTTCTTTCCTTCAAGAAGTATTCTTTTTTCTTCTGTTCTTTCTTTCTTTCTCTCTTTCTATATTTCTTTCTTTCTTTCTTTTTTTTATTTTCCATATTTCCCTTTCTTTTTTGCTTTTAATTCACAATATTCTTTCTTTCTTTCTTTCTTACTTTCTTTCGTTCGTTCGTTCATTCTTTTACCCAACTGTCTACACCTTTATTATTCTTTCTTTCTTTCTTTCTTTCTTTCTTTCTTTCTTTCTTTCTTTCTTTCTTTCTTTCTTTTATCAAACTGTCTACACTATATTTATTCTTTCTTTCTTTCTTTCTTTCTTTCTTTCTTTCTTTCTTTCTTTCTTTCTTTTACCCAACTGTCAACATTATTATTATTGTTTCTTTCTTTCTTTCTTTCTCTCAATAGCGATGCCAAATGTTTTTTCTCTATTTCACCTTTTCCGTTACAGTCTCTTATCTCGGCGTATCAATATCATTCCAACATTCTTCAATTTTTGTTCTATTTGCCTGAAGCGTTCATATCATTTTCCTTTCTTTCTTTCTTTCTTTCTTTCTTTCTTTCTTTTCTTTCCTTCCTTCCTTCACTCCTTCTTTCTCACTTTCTTTCTTTCTTTCTTTCTTTCTTTCTTTCCCTCAAGCATTTTTCTTTTTTCTTCATTTTTCTTTCTCTCTATCTTTCTTTCATGCATTCTTTCTTTCTTACGAGAATATTTCTTTCTTTCAATTATTTATCAATCTCTTTCTTTCATTCATTCTTTCTTTCACTCATTTTCTTTCCTTCAAGAATTTATCTTTTTTCTTCTGTTCTTTCTTTCTTTCTCTCTTTCTATCTTTCTTTCTTTCTTTCTTACGAGAATATTTCTTTCTTTCAAACATTTATTTTTTCTTTCATTCCTTTTTATTTATTTCTTTATTCCAAGCATTTTCTTTCCTTCAAGCTTTTCCTTTTCTCTTTTTTTCTTTCTTTCCCTCTTTCTTTTTTTCTTACGAGAATATTTCTTTCTTTCAAGCATTTATCTTTTTCTTTCTTTCTTTCTTTCTTTCTTTCTTTCTTTCTTTCTTTCTTTTAAGCATCTTCTGACATTCAAACATTTTTCTTCATTCTTCTTTTCTTTCTTTCTCGCTCTCTCTCTTTCTTTCTTTCTTTCTTAAGAGAATATTTCTTTCTTTCGTTCTTTTTTCAAAGCATTTTTTCCTTTCTTTCTTTGTTTCTTTCTTTCTTGCTAGCATTTCTTTCCTTTCTTTCTATCTTTCCAGCATTTTCTTTCTTTCTAACATTTTTCAAGCATTTTCTTTCTTCCTTTTTTTCATGCCATTTTCTTTATTTATTCACTTCAATTGTTTACATGCTTTCTTAATCACTTTATAATTTCTATTTATAAACCGGATATTTTTCATAATTAGGCGAAAGGTCGATAAACTCCATATACATTATCCGCTTTTATGACTTCAAGCTTAACTTCAGATAATACAGTGAAAATAAATAGAAAAGCTACAAGGAAGTCCAATCAAGCTGGCAGTCATTGTCAACTCCATGTCAATTTATACAAGACATGAAATTGAATTATTCCTTTTTTTTCTTTAAGCAAGAAATAATTTTAAAATTTATTCGCTTCAAATGAGGATCAATTAAAATGTTTAAACGCTCGAATTTAACATAATTGATCAGTGCAATGTAAATCAAGTGACCAAGCAACGCAGACATTTGATAGATGTTGGATTTTCTGTAAAACGTTAATCCATTTGCATTAAGCCTGCATCATTACGATTATCATTATATATATATATATATATATATATATATATATATATATATATATATATATAGAGAGAGAGAGAGAGAGAGAGAGATAGATAGATAGATAGATAGATAGATAGATAGATGATAATAATGTGTGTGTATATGTGTGTGTGCATGTGTTATAGAAATATGTTTTAAGGTATATTATGTTTATGGGATAAAGTGCTCAATATCAGGGATAGAGCGTGTGTAAATATAAAAGTGGATCGAGAGCGTCGACAATCGGTTTCTAACTTAAAAGCAATCTTCAGGACAAGACTTTATTTTGCACTAACCTATATATATATATATATATATATATATATATATATATATATATATATATATATATTTGGTTGGATAGATGTGAGTTTGTGACCCTGGGTTTCACGCTTTAGCGATCGTCAGACAAACTGATTAATGTTTTAAAAAATTGGGGTTTATGTCGATTGCCTGTATTGGTGTTATTGTGGAAGTGGTGGGGGAAATTTCGTCGTTTTGTCATTCATCGTACTAACGCAAACATTGATGTATGCAGACACATATACATACTTGGTCGTCCGTCGGGACTCATACATATATAAACGTATGTGGGCAGTTTCGGCTATGACACATGTATGTATACGGCTGGTGTTATATATATATATATATATATATATATATATATATATTAAAGAGAAGAGAAGAGCCGCAAACGTTTTTTGTTTTAATGTGAATTCCTTAAATATATATTATACTTTATTTTCTATATTTTTGCTACACGGGTTTCCGGTCTTCCTACCTTCATCAGGCGAAGAGTGGTTATTTCCACATATTATTTAAAGGAATTCATTTTTCCTTATGTGTTCCCATGTTTAACCATTGTTTTTTGTGTATAGTAGTAACCAAAATTTTCTTGGACTTGTGGAGAAAATGTTCTTCTGCTTAAGGGGACATAAAATAATTAGAAGTGATTAGAGAAAGGGCGAAGGAAGCAAATTTTTGTTCTTATCTTTTGTATGACCTCTGTATCTTTTTAAACCTATCTCCATTTTAGTGTATTCTGTGTACGTGTGTGTTTTTGCTAGTATGTGTATATCTATTACTTCTTTATACATACATATATATTGTTCTATTATAAAGAATTAGTATATACATATATATATATATATAATATGAAATGGACAAAGTCCGACAATTATTTTAAGACATTTTTATGTTTATACATTCTTTTTATATAGATACAAATATTTAAGTAAATGCTCTGTTTATAATAAACAGTATTAAACAGCATTTACCGGCCTGAATGTCCGAGAAATTTTCATAGAAAATATTCGTCCTCCGACACGATTCGAACCTGTATCCTATACGGAACCGTCAGTTAGCTTGACGTGCCTTAACCGATTTGGCTACAGAGGAGCGTTCGGTTAGCAAGTTCGAATTTGCCGTTTTTAAACTTCAATCTTCCATGAATCTCTCACGTACATTCATATCTGCTCAAAGCGTATCCAAATGTAAACAAATGACGTCACACATTATCAAATGGACAAAGTCCGACAATTATTTTAAAAAATGCTCTGTTTATAATAAACATTATTAAACAATTAAGAAATTTCTCCAACATTTCTAAACAAGAGCATACCTGACAACATTCCCAATTCAGAAAATTATTGTTGTAAATACATCTTTATTTTTTCATGAAAATAATAAACATAAACTAAAAAATCTTGAAGCTATCTATATTAAAATAAAAACTGTAAGTAAATTTTAATAAAATTAATTATGAATACTTCACAAATGTTGTAAAATGTGTGTACAGTAGATAGTTTAAAATATTGAGGTTTGTATCAATAGTACTTAATAATTATTTTTTTAAATCTCTCAGCACATCATTTAAAAATTTAACAATCAGATGAACACAGCAATTTTGTCTTTGAAAATGGTCAATACTAATATATTTGTCTTTAAAAAAGAACAGCACACTGATTATGGCAATTCCCAACTAGGTATTTATGTTGTAGACAAAAATATTTACTTCTTTCTTAGTAGCAATCCGACAAAGTCCCATAAAGTAAAACTGACAGGAACTCTCAAAAATGAACTCCAATCAGTGGTTAACTGGGGCAAGGAATGCCTTGTAAATTTTAACGGCTCCAAACAAAACTGCTATCATTTAATCATTATAGAGGACACTTTCGGTCTTGCACCAAATTTCTTGATTATATTGAATCAATTGCTAGTATACAGTTAAGAAAGATGGATCACTGAGTCGGGCCAAACAATTTTTCATGTTAGAATCCATCTTGGATACTTATAAATCTACCATTCTTCCGTGCTGTGAATACTGCTGCTACATATGGTCTGGTGCTCCCGCTAGATATCACCAGATTCTCGACAAAATCCAAAGAAGGGTCTGTAATGTTATCGGTCTTGATCTGGCATCTCGAATTCAGTCACTTTCCCACCGCCCTGACGTGGCTTCCCTCTGTCTTTTCTATAAATAATTTCAGGGCAATAGTTGTACTGAGCTTCCTTATTTGGCTGCATGAAATTAAACGTTCTACTTGATTGGAAAGTATGTCTCACCGTTTTATTGTTAAACTAGCTAGATGCAAACGTATTTTCAATTTTAATAATTTTTTCTAGCACTTCTAACCTTTGACCTCTCTTCCAGTCTCTTGTTTCCCTGTCACCTACCCTCTTCAAAAATTTAAATTCAAAGCCAATCGCCATCTTCTGTCTTTATGATTCTTGTTATTTTATTGTCCTTTCTTCTCCCACAAATCTTTTCCTTCTCATTCACGACCAGTAAATACTTGCGTCTTAGGGGCATTATTGCCTTGCTTGGAGCGAAATGATTATAAAAGGAATTGCAAATAATGGAAGCTCTCTGCGTTAAAGGAAATGCGCTATCCATAATAGAAAAGATTTGCCTCAGCAATGGCTCTCATTTGATAAAGTGTTTATAATCATTAAGTAAAAGTCAACCACGTGGCATGACGTCACGTTCTATTGCACTAGAAAACACTTTGATTTCAGAGTGATTAATTCATAAAATATTTTTCAAAAGGTTTAAGAACAACCCTGTAACTTGTAGCTTTCTAAGCCTCTTCCCTGATGATGACCAATGGGACGGTTGAAACTACAACGACCAATTATTCTGCCAGCAAAGCAAAGCCACAATTCGACCAGAAATCAGAATCAGAATGCTTTCCCAACCAGAATGTAAGAAAAGAAAAAAAAAGCAATAATAACAACGAGACCAAAATTTCACCGTTTCTAAAAATAGATATTCCGACCAAGCAATAAAAAAAACTGGATATAAGTCACAAGCCAATGAGAAGTAAAGAGCCTTTTCGATAGATATGCATATAAACAAACGGAAAATTACCCAAAACTAGATTCGGTATCTATCTATATCTCTGAAATGAGGTATCATGATTACTTGCATTATTTACATTATTCGGAAAGTTTTCCTCATCTTCACTGCCATATTGACATGGTCCAGTGGATAAAGACGTTGGTTAGATGGAGTGACGAGACGCAAAGAGTTGTGAGTTCAATACCTGGCCACAGCTGTGGTGAACCAAAATTGGAGTGTTGAGTTAAAGGGAAATAACTGAGATATCCTGAAGAGTTATCAGAGAGCAAAAGCTGGCGCCTGTCCTGTTTCTCATTTATGAAAGGCCTGAACAAAGCCGACTTGAACATCGTGATGAACGGCGTGGAAATATTAAAACAAGTTGGCAGCATTCTGCTCTTTTCAATGATAGCCTTTTACCTGGCACTGTGGCTTTGTCGCACGCAGTGAAGCAGGCCATGCTGTCCTCTCTCGGAAATATGTAGCAATTGATCCACTACCGCTTGAAAGGAATGTCACGTGTTCCATCTGCCAAAAAAGTCTACAAGATACCTGCAGGTGTCGAGAGACACATACGTGTCCACAGAGTTTGAGCATCTCTTTATTTTACTGAGCCATCATTTCACAAGAGAGTCCAATATATATATATATATATATATATATATATGAGACACAGTTGCATCTATTTTTTGTAAGTATTAATCCAATGTAAAACTCAAGAGACTCTCAAGGTAGAGGGTTACTGGGTGAGGTTATTGTGTAGATGTAGAGGAGGAAGTAGTGTAGATTAGAAGGATATGCAGGATAGGTAACGGTTAATCCTTGACTTGAAAGGATTAAGATTGTAGTGACTGGGAAAGTATCCTCTCGGGAGTCTGCTCCACAAACCAAGAGCGTTTGGAAAGAAGCTGTCCGAATAGAACAACCTTCTTAATAATGAAATACGAAAGAAATGAAGATGATTCTCTCCTGTGAACATGATATTCTGAGTCTTAGCTGTAAAGATTTAAACTGATGGAACTGGGCAATGTA